CGCACGCTCTCTCTCTCTCTCTCTCTTTCTCTCTCTCTCTCTCACACACACACACACACACACACACACGCACACACACACACACACACTCACATACACATGCACATACATTCTCTTGTCTATTGATGGGGAGCGCCACCTGCTGGAAACTGGGTCCAGCGTCCCGTGAACATCGTGAATAAGGCATCAACCGGGACCCCACACACACACTCTCTTCGAGTTGTGTATAGCGAACATGACAAAACATACCCACATAAACAAACGACCTACGGGCTGGGCACCCGTGCCCTCACGGTAAGTCAATCATATGGGCAGGGGCCATGCTAATCTTCTCTGTATCGTTCCAATTTTAACGGATGTCCCGAAGGACTTGGGACAGCAAACTATTATTGGCGACTACAGTAGAAGTGCGTTTAGGCAGCGAAATATTTTGCTAGATTTGGCAGTGCTGTACTGGCGGGAACGAGCGCGAAAAAAGGCGGGAGAGGGAAAGCGAATCCAGACCTCCCGATTGGTGGGGAAGGCACGGAAGGCACGGGGAATGCGCGCAGCGCCCTGTAGCAGCTGTTCAACTCCCTCATGTTTGCAGCTGCGCAACACGGGCATTGCTGAGTATAAAAATAAAAATCCAGGAGGACGGCTTCTTCTCTGCATTGCCCTCCATTTAGAACTAGAATTGCAATGTCTGCACATTTTTCCCGCCGTGGATGCAAATGAAATGAATGAAATGAATCTTCGTCTACGGCGTTTGGTGCTTCGATTTTTGGCATTGCTTTGCTCGTTCCTAATTTGTAATCGAGTACGGTGTGTGGAACGATTGCCTAACCATAGATACTATCAGACTCTCAGCAGGGATGCCGCGCCCCTTTGGGCTGGCGGGGGTGGGTCGTGCTGGCGCTGTTGCGATTGCCACTGCTGGAGGGCGCAATAGTAGTGGTAGTAGTAGTTTCACTGTGAGAGCGGGCGTCTCTTCTTGTAAACCTTCGGTCAAGGTCGGGGTCGGGGTCGGGGTCGGGATCGGGGTAACCAATTGGAGTCTGTCGCCGCCGCAGGTGCTGCCATCGCGCGGGAACGCGCAGTTCAAAGGCGGCGATAATACTACACGTAGTAGCACTGTAGAGACGAAAGTCGGTTTCTTTTCTTGGCGCTCTTTTCCATCTTTTCCATCGCCTCACGAATCCATGCACTTGTGGGAGGTGTGTGTCGCGGCGGCTCGGCATGCTTACGCTCCGTGTTCTACTGCCTTTGTTTGGAAAAGGTCCGACTTTTTTGAGCAGGCATCTCTCGGCGGGGCGCTTTCAGGCGTGACGCGCTCCCGCGCGTCGAGTTGGCACTCGATCGCACGCGGCGGGACGAGCGCGGCACGTCGTGGCGCTGGGCTTTCTTGCACCAGCAGCAGCAGCAGTGACTGGGTTTGCCGCCATAGCTCGGCACCACCCCTAGCTTCGTCGTCGACGTCTCTCGCATCGTCACCATCACCGGTCGTAGATTCGCGGCAAAAAGGGCGCCATGCGTGCACTTGCATCGTCCAACAGATCGAAATTGCGAAATATCGGGGGCGGGAGAAAGTGGGATGGGTGGGAAGTCGTAGGAGAACGAGGAGATCCGTTGGTCGAGTTGAGGCAGCAGTGATTCCTACTGCCGCATGTTGTAGCGTTGACGTCAACAGCTACTGCAAGAAGGTTCTTCGCCGCGGCGCCGTTTCTCCCCGGCGCCATTGTTTTGTTGACGACAACTGCGCAAAGCAAAAGGAGGAGGAGGAGGAGGAAGAGGATTGGTATGCGAGGGCATTTCTTCCTCGTTGGCATGCAAAGATCGTTGCCTCAGAGATCGTTGCCCCAAGCTCGGTGGAGGAAGTAACTTGCCATGGCTGGAGCTTTTCTGGCCGTCAGTTTATGAGCAGAGCAATCTCCTTAAGACTCGTTGGCGGCGGCGGCGGCGGCTGTGGCGAAGGCAATCCTTCCACCATCTCATCCTCTTCTTCTTCCTCGATTCGCCATCGTTTTCGACGTAGATCTCGCAGAGCCGCCATAGCTACTGCTGGCGGAGGTCGGGGGACCGGCGACGCGAGACCGTTGTCTTCTTCCCGACTCATGATCCCCTGCTTATCTCGAATTATTGTGTTATCGCCGCCGCCATCGTCTTTCTTGTCGTCTTGCGGATTAATCGCGGCGGCGATCCATTGCTCGGCTCGCTCCGCGGTTATGGCAAGCACGCTCCCGCGAGCGGCAGCGCAGTCGTCCGCCGGAGAAACTGATCGCCAAAGAAATGCTATGGACTCCAAGAAAACGGCTATGGCGGCGATGGCGATGACGGCGAACGATATGCCAGAAGACGGATCGAAGGGGGAAGAAGCTCTGGGGAGCACGACACCGCTGTCACCCTTAGCGAACAACACGACGCCTCTGCAGTCGAACGGCCATCATCAACAAGAATCATGGTCCTCTCGTGCTCTCTCGAGCGGAGGCTATGGCGATGCCGGCACGGGGGGACGTCAACAACCACCAGCCTCATCTTCTTCCTCTCCTGTCTCCTCTTTGCCGTCAGAGGAGAAGAGTTGGCTCGCCGTTGCTGGTCAAAGTTTCAATATGGCGGGAACGATGATCTTTGTCCACATGTTGATGGGTAATCGCTACTTGGCATTGCCTCATATTAGCGTGCCAGACATTCGATGGGTTGACTGGCACGCTTTGCGGAAAGCGGGATTCGTGGGTGCTATCTTCGACAAAGATAATACTCTTACCGTTCCGTATGAAAATAACCTCTATTCAGTTCTACAAGAGTCCGTCAGCCAATGTAAAGAAGCCTTCGAAGGGCGCATCGCCATTCTCAGCAATTCTGCGGGTATTTTTCTCTCTCGCTGCTCTCTGTCATGTTCTTCTTATGTGTGTTTGCCCCGCTCACGACCTCGCGTCACCCTCTTTTTAAATTTTTTTTTTTTTTTTTTAGTGAAGGTACTGGCTCCTTGTCCATTCTCGCGGCGGCACCCTCTGTCTTTCCCGTCGATCTGCTTTCTATCCCGGTCTTTTTCCCTTTCTCTCCCGCTCGTGTGCCGTCGATGATCTGCTTTCTCTCCCGCTTGTTTGCCGTCGATGATCTGCTTTCTCTCCCGCTTGTTTGCCGTCGATGATCTGCTTTCTCTCCCGCTCTTTTTCCCTCGATCCGCTTTCTCTCCCGCTCTTTTTCCTTCGATCAGCTTTCTCTCCCGCGCTCTTTCCCGCCGTGCCGCTTTATCTCCCGCTCGTTTCCCGTCGATCTGCTGTCTCTCCCGCTCTTTTTCCCTCGATCCGCTTTCTCTCCGGCACTTTTTGCCGCCGTGCCACTTTCTTTCCCGCTCTTTTCCCGTCGATCCGCTTTCTCTCCCGCTCTATTTGCTGCCGTGCCGCTTTCTCTCCCGCTCTTTTCCGTCGCCGATCGGCTTTCTCTCCCATTTTTTTGTTTCTACGTGCCGCTTTATCTCCCGCTCTTTTCCCGTCGATTTGCTTTCTCTCCCGCTCTTTTTCCCGCCGTGCCACTTTCTTTCCCGCTCTTTTCCCGTCGATCCGCTTTCTCTCCCGCTCTATTTCCTGCCGTGCTGCTTTCTCTCCCGCTCTATTTCCTGCCGTGCCGCTTTCTCTCCCGCTCTTTTTCCCGCCTTCTCTGCACTCTTACTGTCTCCTTTTCCGCCTGCTGCTCTCTCTTCCGCCGAGTTCTCCTTCTCATCTGAAATCTATGGCAGCCCTCAGCAGCTTACGTAGACTCCATTGGCGCATGAGTGAGTCTGAACTCCATGAGCAGTTTTCTTCTTGGGCACCTTGTCTATTAACCACCGTGATTCGGTCATCACGGCATATTGTTGTATTATAACCTATTATGAACAATTACAAATGATTATCAATCATCACAAGTGATTATGAAATCATAATTAATTTGTGGTTATTGACAAGTACAAAAAGTTACGACTGATTGCTTGAGTGGGGAATCATACATAGGACCTCGCTCCACTACTAACCACCAATTGTGCAAAATGAGAATGAATCTTCCCCCAGAAGATGGAAAGATTCCGCGCCATAATTTTTGTATTTTGTGCATGTGGTGAGTAGTGGACCGAGGCCTACACTCAGCAGGCAGTCGAAGAAGTGGGGGTCAAAAAAGAATTGGCCAGCGGCCTAGGCTACCAGCCGGGCCGCCCGGGGCCCGGGTGGCCAGCCCGTGCAAGGACCAGGGAAGGTCCCAGCAAAAAAAAAAAACATAAAAAAAAAAACTCCAAAAAATCCCCCAAAAAAACTATGTTATGCAGAAAAATGAACTGAACAACTTTTGCCTCAGGGTCGCATCGAAATTCTTCACCGAATTTAGAATAAAAAATAAAATTTAAAAATATATATATTTTTTGGCCCGGCCGGGCAAGTGACCCCGGGCCACTCTGGTAGCCTAGCCACCGACTAAATTAATTATCGTTGTTCAATTGCAGGTACGTCTGCGTCTCGCCTTAGCGCGCCATTGCATTGATTGATCTAAGTGGAGACGAGAGCACAGAGAGGCGTACCCTCACGCACACACTGGACGGTGCGAACGCGAAAGATCGCTGCCGCGCCTGTTAACGAAAAAACTGCACGAAATTTTAATTATTTAGTATGTACTCTATGATTTGTTGCAAATTAATTGTATAGTGTATGTATGAAGTCTGTGGTGCATCTTTTGCAATCAGTTTTTTTTTTTTTATTTTTTATTATATTGGAAACAAACCGAAAGTCGATGATTTATCGAGTCGAAGAGCTGCACCAATGCCCAACCGAATATATCGTTGGGATCCCAACCTACTATAGCTACTATAACCTGCAGTACCTTCCAAAAAGGCTATAGTAGCTGGTGGATGCCAAGGCTTGCCAAAATTTAATTTAGTTTTTTTTTTTTACTCAATGCTCAACACTAGGAGGCATTGCCCCTTCGATCTCCAAATTTAGCTATGGTTCGCGTTCAGATAGGTCTGCTCTCTCGCCATTGCCCCTTCGATCTCCAAATTGACCTTGCTACTGTATCATCCCCAAATGAATTCTGCAGGCCCAAGGAGGCATGCACGGACACACGCATACGTACACACGGACAATACGCGCGCGCGCGCGCGTGAGAGAGAGAGAGAGAGAGAGAGAGAGAGAGAGAGAGAGAGAGAGAGAGAGAGAGAGAGAGAGAGA